TGCTGCCTGTCATATAACATAACACGTTTCCTTTCTACTCTTCTCACGTCTATTCAACTGTCTGGATGAATACTGATTGATGAAGATTTCACCCTTAATCATCTGTTCTCTCTGGTCCACATTAATGGTCGCTTTTAAGGACAAGCGAGCTAACCCAGATTTCGGGGGTTTTCCAGAATTTTGACCTACACCAAAAGTGGGCATTGCCCTACCTATGGGAGAACGTTGGTTTCATTGGTGTGTGTATTTGTTTGGTTATAGGGAAAACTCTCCTTGTCTTTTAAAGAAACTGAACAAGAGGCAAAAACTTTTCCTTCGATTTTCTCAAAACAGCATTTTTCGGGATAGCCCCCTTGTGCTTAAAAGTGACCGTTTAAACTGTGTTGTTTGTTTTTCCTTTTCTCACCGCTGTGAGTACACGTAGCTGTGATGTGTCTGTAGTGGAAGTGGTTACAACTCACAATAATCCTGTACTGGATGAGGCAGAACACATCTATACATGAAAGATTGCTGTCAAAACTTGGATGATTGGAGTTCACAATGCTAAGATTAGGCCTCATAGAAACTCTATCGGCCAAATTTTCTCCAATAATTTGTCTTTTATTGTAATTGCAATTGTAATGGTTTCTGTTCTCTCATAATGCCAACCGGACTCGTAATCGTGAGATTGCGGGTTTGTGGGTTCGAGCCTCAGCTCGGTCCGACGTTTGTCCTTGGGAAAGGCACTTTACACGAATTTCCCACTTGGCTCTGTCCTATCGGAGAAGGATGTTAAACTAGGAGGTCCCAAATAACCTAATTGTATTGATAGGGGCGTTAAACCCATACCATTTCATTATTTTCACCATTTTCATCATGCCAGATGGCAAAACATAGAAAGTTGCGGATTTGTTTTTTGAGTGTTGCAGTATAGATTTTTGGTAAAACAGAGGAGGGAGAAGTCCAAGTGTGGGTGGTTGGTGGGTGCTCTGGTGTGGTTTGTTTCTTCTTTCCTATCAAACATCTATCGGCCTTATCTCCCCTCCTTCTTTTTTGTGTTTGTTACTCTCTTGTAACCCCTCTAATCTTGGGCACTTATATGACCTTATGCAGTTACGAGTGCCGTAAAACCTCTACTAAGACTATCTCAAAACATAGAAAGTTGCTCATTTGTTTTTTGAGTGTTGCAGTAATATATTTTTGGTAAAATAGAGGAGAGAGAGGTTCAAGTTGATTATGAAACATTGAGAAACAAGTTGAATGTTTTTTCTACATTAAAGGCAAGGGCTTTGTTACTGTGTCACTTTGCAGTAAAATTATTGTCTACTTCTTTTCAACATTATTGTTGTCATAACTGTAGTCATCATTTTGGCTTTCTGCAACTCATTCCACAAAATACACGGACCAACACCGATGCCTTTATGAATAGCGGCACATACATAATAACCAAACCGTAGCACATGGGGACTGATTTTTTTTACTGTATTAGTTGTTAAAGTGACAAATCAGAATTCTAATTATTAAGATTTTCTCATCATTTCGTGCAAAATTTGATTTAGTCCAATCACTGAATTTGTGATTCCATTTTGACAGTTCGGTAATGTGTGCTGTTATAGAAGAATTATCGTGAAAAAGGATGTTCCTGTATAGTTTACCAGAAAGGTTGAGTAAAGTCTGAGATGATACATAACAAGATAGTTCACTCTGCAAGAAAAGTGTCCGCGGAAGTCCGCTCATTGGTTCAGATGTCGCTGCAGTCTTTGATTTGAAGCTCTCTTTTTTTCTCTTCAGAAGAAGAATAGGAATAGCACAGTTTGCTGGTTCACTTTTATTGTTTTTCACACAAGTAGGGTAACTCTGATCGCAAAGTCCTCACTTTTTCGAAGAGGGCGCCCCCGAATTTTGATGACACTTTTTTAATTGGCTCAAAGAGAGGAGTGAACCATCTTGTTGTACACAATCTTTGGTAAAGTCTAAGACGATGGAATGTGTTACACACGTACAATGTCTAATGCATGCATTCAAAATTGTACCTTTTCAAAATCTATTTCTCGGATGCAATTTCTCTCTTTTGATACACTGGCATTTCAGTAGAGCGTCAAAGCCTCACACACCCACTTTTGTCACACTGCCATTGTGTGTGTGAAGGATTCACAGTAGTGTTCACTACCAATAGAGTAAAGATGAAGTTATTTCTCTATATGTATGTAGCACCATGGTGAAATCAGGCACTCATCAACATAATGAAATTTAAGAAACCAAATCTTCTCTGCCCGTTGGACATTTTTTCTCAAATTGCTTTCTTGGGTTTTTTTTTTTTTTTTTTGGCTCAACACCGTTTATGTCCTTAGAAACACATTACTGTATGGATTGTACTGAGAAATGTTGATCATAGGTACATAAAAATATGAATTTGCAATTTTCAAGGCCATTACAGCTTTGGAAGTCCCCAAACTTTGTTGGCCATTTTCTCATGGGTTTTACTTCTCCTACGCGACTCCCACCTCCTTCTATGGCGAATATCTTGACTTCTATTCATGATAAATTGGTATTTTTTCATTATAAGTAAAGCAGATGAACAGACTTACAGGCTTTCAGATTATTCTTATAACTCTCTATACTTAAAAATTGATGAGCGCCTGCTTCCACTGTGTTGTGACACATATCACTATGGTAAATGGAAGCTATACATTATATTTGTTGGGTTTTTTTCTTTGTGAACAGCATCGTTTGGATAGCTGTAAGTTTTAAAATGGGAACCTGAGAAGTTTTTTAAACCTGAACCGCAAATGTTTTACGATTGAGAACAGCTGTTTCTTTTTTTAACAGAACTTTTATCTCAGATATGACTGGATGGCTAACAATATCTCAGACATGAAACGTTTTGAACATTGAACACCTCTTACGAGGGTTTTAAAGATTTTAAAATATATATTTAAAATGTCAAATGAGTAATATGTTTTTATGATATGGATCACCCCCTCCCCTACCCCCGTGCAGTCAAAGAAAATCTTCCATATTGAGGAAAACTTTTTTTTTTCTACGTACGACAAAGTAAAAAAAAGGGGATGGCACTGAACACTCATCATGTTAATATCACTGTAAGATACATTACACAGCAGTTCTTCCATCTGGAGGATTTCCTGCTTGAAGATTATACAAAATACACTGTTATTATGCCTCCCCCCCCCCTTTCCCTATACAACATACACTGTTAATTATTTAGCTTTCCCTCCAAACTGTCATGTACTCATTTTCCGAATTCAATACTTCAAAGTGCTTGAGTTTGATATTTCTCCCTCTGACTTTTTCAATATATTGTTATATTTTAGCTTTACATGTAATATCATTATATTTCCCTGAATTTTTGTTTGAATTTAGGAAAAAGTATATTACAATGGTTGTCGGGTGTTGTGGTGTGGTTTTCTTCTTCTTTCCTATCAAACATCTATCGTCTTTATCTCCCCTCCTCCTTTTTTGTGTTTGTTACTCTCTTGTAGCACCTCTAATCTTCGGCACTTCTATGACTTAATTGTGTTGCTAGTGCCGTAAAACACTTACTAAAACTAAAACTTAGCTTTACATGTTACATCTATATATTTCCCAGAATTTTTTGTTCGAATTTAGGAAAAAGTATATTATAATGGGAACCCATTTACAATATGTATTTATTCCTTTACTTGTCATTGTGAATTTTGTCTCCATACCTCAGTAACTCATACCGGACTCGTAATCGTGAGATTGCGGGTTCGGGGTTTGAGCCTCAGCTCGGTCCAACGTTGTGTCCTTGAGAAAGGCACTTTACACGAATTTCCCATTTGGCTCAGTCCTTTCGGAGATGGACGTTAAATTCGGAGGCCCGGCCTCTTAAATAAGCTAATAGTTTTGATAGGGGCGTTAAATCTATACCATTTCACCATTATCACCTCAGTAGCACACATATGTAACAATGTAGGTATTTTTCTCAAACATGTTATCAACGTTAAGTCTTTCAATATCAAAAGTCTCAGTACTTTTTAAAACTTACTTATCAAAGCTGAATTACAGAGTTCAAAGAATGTGAATACATATATAGCATTTTTAGAAATCTGAAATTATTGAATCAATATTGCGATATTATTATATTATGTCTCACTGTTACTATGGTCAGGCGACAGTTTTATGAATGGAATGAGAGTGACTGAAGACTTAAGATTTTGTCAATTACCAGTTCAGATTTCTGACTCATCTTTCAAGTTCTGGAATTGATACTGATAGATGTTGCTTCATGTTGTTTCATGGACATTTTTTCATGCTTTTAACTTGAAAAGTATGTTTGTTTTAACTTCTGAAAGAAAGACAATAATTAGTCTCCTCTATAGGTCTCATTATCTATCTACAGCAACTTTAGGGACTATTTTTTCTCCTTTTTACAATGCATTAGACTATTTTTTTAAACCCTTTTTACAAGGAATACATGCATTAGAATATTATTTTACCCTTCTTACAAGGAAAGCATGCATTTTCATTTTGAAATCACAGAAATTTAAGTAGCATTCAACATTTTTTCCTATCCTATGTTTGTTTTGTTTAGGAATGGGTGTGGTAAATGCACCTTCCTCGTCAGTGTTTAGTTTATTTTGTTGACTCGTGTGTTTAGTGAGGGAGATGTACTGAGATGTTGTGTCAGGTTCTAGCCGAACTTGTTGTTACTGTTCACATAATAAGATTAATTGATCAATTTTTTGTTGTCTGAAAAATATATCATTTTCAATGTTTATGATGCTGTAGATTCTATCCCAACTTGTTGTTACTGTTTACATAATAAGATAAATTAAGTGGGTGGTTGGCGGGTGCTCTGGTGTGGTTTGCTCCTTCTCTCCTATAAAAAATCTATCGTCTCTATCTCCTTTCCTTCTTTTTTATGTGTGTTACTCTCTTGTAACACCTCTAATCTTCGGCACTAAATACAACCTTATTGTGTTGCAAGTGCCGTAAAAGTCTTACTAAAACTAAACTATACTAAACCTCTGCTGTTTCAGAGGATGGTTGAGGCTGCCCTGAAGAAGAAAGTTGTGCTGGATGCCTTCAGTCGTCGGTCCACAGTCTTCAGAAACGATTCTCAGTCTGCCGTCAAGGAACCTCTGTAGCTCTGCTGTGTATTGCTTGGCGTGCCGGCAGTGGAATGCCGTCGGAAATGTTGCTCATGATGAGTACAATTGGTGATAATTACTTGAACATTTATTGTGGTGATAATACTAACCAAAGATTATTGCAAGAGAACAAAAAACAAAAACAAACCCAACAAAAAAAAACTACAAACGAAATGGATTTCTGTGACAATATTATTAAGTTTGTACACAAGAGACATTTTTTCGTTTGCTCAGTCGCAACGTATATGAAAACACATTTTTTACATTTTTCTTCAATCGGCTTGAGAAAAATGTTTTGATCTTCTTGGGGCTCGCAATTTCTCCCTGTTAAAAAGGAGAAAAGAATTACAGCTGTATATGTGTCATGACGCAGTGGAATCAGGCGCTCCTCAATTTTGGAGCATGTGAGGTTATTGGTATCATCTTAAAATAAAAAGGCTTGTTTTGTGTTTTTTTCCTTTAATGAAAGAAATACCCATCTATCTTGAATAGAAGTCAAGATATTTGCGGTTGAAGGAGATGAGGTCGCCCGCTTTCAGTGGTAAAATTAGCGTGAAAATGGCCGCCAAAGTTAAACAATTTCAATAGTTTGAGAGTCCCTGAAAACAATAAAATTACATACGTTGTACCTTTAATCTACGTTTTCAGTAAAACCCACACAGAAATGTGTTTTTAAAAGAATAAAAAAGGTGTTGAGATAAAAAGAAGAAAATGAAAAAAAATAATTGCCAAATGGTGAGAAAAATGCCAATTTCTTTGATTGAACTATTTTGACGAGCGCCTGATTTTCCCCACGCTGCCTCTCATATGGTTGTTCTACTATGAGTTCTCGAACCTGGAGATGGAAATAATGTCTCTTGCTGTTAATCTAAGTCAGTGGTGGATGAGTTTTGTGTGTAGTGCCACGAGTAGTCTTTGACATGTGTGCTGTTGGTAGAAGTAGATTTGTCTGCCGTGATGAAATAATTGCAGTCACAGACCCGAGAGGGAGATGTGAGAGCCGTTAGTACATTTTGAAACTCCACTTTAACACTTTAATAATGAATTACACTTTTATTTGTCCCAGAAGGGCTCTTCGTTATACAATGGCAAACATACATACATACATAATTATAAATATGTACATACAGAAATACATACATAAATACATACATAAATACACACTATTACACGAATACAGAACAGTATACAACAATGCCACTGCACATCTCGCTGATCGGCGATGTTTACCACCCAGTTTCTTTGGAGTTTCCCCAAAATGCCTTGCCTTTGATGGCAAGATTTTTTACTGTATGAGCCTTGTGATGGCAAAGTGTTAAAGAAGAAATACATTTTTATACTTCCTATCTTCTATGTTGTCTTAAAAAGAGGTTCTGTAGCATAATAGATTTTGAAATATCACAATTTAAAGTGATAATACTTTTCAATATTGTTGTCTCTCATTTCTTTTTCCACAAACTCAGCTGTGACACTGACTATAGAAGATCTGTTTCTCATTGTAGATTTGTTGCTGACGGGCATGTTTCTGGTGTCTGGAAATAAAAATTGGCAAGAGAGAATGTTTAGTGTGCCGAAACTAGGGAACTATTTTCTGTGTGAAGTTAAAGTGAATGACTGTTTGAATGTATGTATGTATGTATGTCAAGGACATGGCAAGATCACATCCTCAGGGAATGATATAGAGCATCTCACAGGATGACTCATTTTTTACTTACTTCTGGCTTTCAGAACGTACTGAAACATCTCACCGCAATTGTCGAGTCAAATACTCATCTTGCTTATTTGAGTACTTACCACAACCTCTGGTTTCCTTTTGCAATGGCATGCTGCTGTGCACATTTCTGCTAGTAGTTGTTGTTATTGATCCAGCAACAGCTGGGCTCTCGCCCTTCTGTCCAATGCCATGTAGTGATAAGTGCAGGTTTGCTGCAATTGTTGTAACTGCTTGTAGTTAAAAAGCATATCTAAGGAATTTTACTTAATATCAAATTTCCTGTAAGATTTTAAACTCCTCAGGGTTACTACGACACTCTGAAATCTGTTTGATGTATTGCAATGAACGCAGAGCCCCAGTGTCACTAGATTTTTAAAAAACTATGGAGAAGAAGTAGTTGCATATGATTCTGTTATTGTGTAAGTTGACATTCTTTGACCAAAGAGGAACCAAGGGAAAAAATTGGAGTGTGTGAGATGAGGCGATGAATGATGAATCTTGTTGTAACACTGCATAATAGATCTTGTCCAAAAAAAAATACTGCTGAGGATAGGTCGATTGCTCAGTTTGCAACAGCTGCATAGTTTCCTGATGTCATAATTTAGTTTTGTTTTTGAGAACAGGCCAAATTGGTACAGGTTTTGGTTTTTAGCAGCCCCTTTGTGACATCCTTTACATGTCGTTTGTGATGGAATTGTTTAGTGGATTGTGTATGACTACTCTTTAACAAATGCTTCTGTACAAATCGTTGTTTTTTTGTTGTTGTGATGTTACCCTTTTACTTTATGATTTGGACCACTGCCTTTTGTGGTTTGTTTCTTTTTCTTTTTTATCTTTAAAAGTTCAAAGTTAGAATCAGCAACAAAACTGGAGAACCATATCCAAGGACTAATAGTAAAAGTGCATTTTTGAATACAAACAATAGTGTAAAATCGAAGATCTCTTGAATTGATTTCAGAAGTAGATGTTTGCATTTTGAGAGACTAGTTAGTGTGTGTCTCTCACCGGAAAAATTTCTGTTTTTGCGTTGTAAGTCGGTTTTAGTAAATGGTATTGGGTACAACTCCAAATATGTCATGGATTATTGTGATTATTCTTCTATAGTTATTTTCTTAAGTTAAAGTTTTGATTACCGGTGATAGATGTCATCAGAGGTTCTATTTCTTTAGAAAAAAACCGCAATCTACATCAAAGATAAAAAATTGTTGATATTTATCTTTGGCTGCTTTCTTCAAAACTGCTTCTCACAATCTGTTCTGAGCAAGTGTTTTGTGTTCAACGAATAGCACCTGTTTAGTTTTTTTTTATCTTCTCATTTTTGAGTTAGCTTCAAAATGATTTTGAGTGTTGTAGGGGCGTTACGTCAGAGTTCTGAGATTGGAAAAGGATGAGCTTCTCAGCTTTTCTCTGGACATTCAATGTGACAAACATGCAGTGCCTGAGATTTCATGTGGTCTGGGTTTGTTTTTTGTTTTTACTGTTTTGTGAAAAATTTGTTGCTGTGCAAATATATTCTCAGGTGAAAAGAGGTATTTGGTAAAGGTGATGTCACGGCCTTGTGATTCGTCGTAAATTTGTTAAAAATTGTATAACACTCAAAATCATTTTGAAGCGCATTGAGCTACTTTTTTGGAAATGCGCTATATCTATTATATTATTATATGACCTTATACAGTTGCTGGCGCTGTAAAACCCTCTACTATTAAAAAAAACAAACTGTGTGTGATGAAATTGTTACAGCAGACCCATGACTTTTAACACTGTGGTGCATGCTTTCCTAGGGAAACTTCACAGCTTTGCTTTAACACAGCAGTGTACCTGTATAAACTATAATTTTGGTAAGACGTAGAGAACTGGATGTTGCTAAGATATTCCTTCTTTTTCCTTTATTTACCATATCTGGGGCTCTGTACAGATGAATGTTAAGTAATCTCAAGTAGTGACAGGAGGTGGGAGGTTGGCGGGTGCTCTGGTGTGGTTTGCTCCTTCTTTCTTACCAAACATCTATTGTCCTGATCTCTCCTCCTTCTTTTTTGTGTATGTTACTGTTACTCTCTTGTAACACCTCTAATCTTCGGCACTTATGTGACCTTATTGTATTTCAAGTGCCGTAAAACTCTAACTAAAACCTAAAACTAAAATGGTGACAGGAATGAACTTTCCAGGGCCACTATTTCTGAGACAATGACGGTTGGTTCTCCAGGCTGGAGTGGAAGAAAAGTGAACAAACTGTTTTGTGTGATTGAGTAAATTTCTGCCACGGAACAATTGGTCGTGATATCCTCAAATGGGTCCATAAGCAGAAATTGGATCAGTGTTCCCAAGAACTTTACTCTTGTTTGATTCTTAATACAGACACTTTTTATTAGTTTTATTTATACCAATATCACTACTTTAGAGCATCCATTCCGATGTAGTAGTTGTACATAATATTGATAATTTTTTTCCACATTTTCTTGCATAATTACAGCATACTCGATAACTTTTCTAACTTATTTGTGTGTGTATTAACATTAAAAATGTGTATTCTTTTTTTCTTTACAAGAGGTTTGGATCTATCTGATTGTCTTTCTATTGAATATGGTGGTTCTCACGGATTAAGAAAAAAATCCCTCAATATGTTAAGACCAGATCATGCACAATTTTACTACAGGAACTAAATTGATAATTAGTTTTTGAGTAAATTTCACTGAAAAAAAAAAATACCGAAAATAATCATTGGTCTCACTTTTGAGACTTTTTATTGCTTATGCCGTGCCCCCTCTCTCTCTCTTCTCTTCTACTGTTGTTTGGCTCTGATGTTCCAAGTATGAAATACGATATACAATCTATTTACCTTCCCCACCTGTTTGTATGGAGTACTGCTGACTTACAATTTATATGTTAGCTCTGTTTTTTCATATATATAGCTCTGTTTTCGCATAATCTGGGTGTTGGAGTTTTTGCCTTTTTTTTCTCAAGGGCATCTTATTACACTTGACTCTCTTCTCCGAAGCATTATATTTTATAAAATCTACTAATGTTACATAGTATTACCTAAAATGTAAATATTTTAATCTACTCTGTGTATGTATTAAGTTTGTGAATCTTGGTATACATATAATACAGGTGCCTGAGGCAACAAAGCACAGCTACATTTGTAATTTGTGGTTGGTGTGGGGGTGGAGGAGGTGTACTTGTAGAGGCACATCTAGTTTAGTGTGTTGTACGTTGACTTTGAGAGAAAGCAGTATCTGGTCTGTTACTATTTGTACCAGCTTCAGGTGTATCGTGTTGAATTTTTGAACTAGTACCACTGAGGCAGCTCACTCGTACCGGAAGTGTCTTGGGATTGTTGTGTGTATTTTTTGTCATTTCAATAATCGCTCTTTTTTTATACTCATGCTCTGGTGTGGTTTGCTGCTTCTTCTTTCCTATGAAACATCTATCGTCCTTATCTCCCCTTCTTCTTTTTTATGAT